TTCCCTACAGTTTAGGTCATTGCATTTAAATTTTTAAAACAAGTTAATCTAACAGACATACACTTGCAATGCACATTAATGTAGTTCCAGTAATAGATAATTCATAATTAATTCATGAATATTAAGTTTTATACTTTTGATGGAAAGTGTTACCGTAATATCATTTTTTTTAGAATTTTTAAAATTGATAATAATAAAAAGTATACTTGAAAAATAATTGAAAGTTAATATCTCCTTGCATAAACTTTATAAGTACAATATCATACAATATAGAAATTATTGCACACACACACACACACACACACACACACACACATATATATATATATATATATATGTATATGTATATATATATATATAACGGTTGTTGACAATGAAATATGAAACTGTTTAATGATATTTGGTACGTTATTTGCATACATCTACATATACAACTACCTATTTATACTTGATTATTCATTTAAATTATGGTAAACAAAAAATATAATAATATTAATAATTACGATAATAATAGTATCTACAAATGAAAATGGACTTTTGTTTAAAAAGAGAAAAAGAGAGAAAACAAAATTCTCTGGCACCTGCAATGTTTCATTAATAATTTCTCGAATATAACGATACATTAGTAATTTTCTAATTGTATATTAGTAAGGATCATTTTTCACAAACGGCTTGTAATTTTAAATTAACCTCGTCGCAACAGAAGAAGTCATAAAGTGATATATATATATATATATATATATATATGCAATTGCAATTAATTTCCAGATAAAGAATAATTTGAAATAATCAATTTTTTAATTTAATGCAAATGCCAATTAATGCTAAATATAAAATATTTGACGAGATCGTTGCTATAACAGCGATTATTGCGTAATTATCGAATGCAGAAGGGAGCTGGCGCTCAAGCCACAACAGTCGACTCAACTTTATTACTTTATGAATAAAAGAGCCGGGGATAAAACGTGAATAAAAATTATTGTGAAAATTGTTGCACTTGAATTCTCAAAGGGCTTATGTAATAAAGGCGCGGGTTCGGCTCTAAATGCTTCCCCGCCTCCCTCATTCCGGAAGGACCCGAGGCTCATAAGGGAAAGGAAGGACGATGGCGGTTATGACGATGGCGTAGATGGGGCGGGGGGAGGGAGGGGGAGGCTGGGCTCGGCTCGTCAAATGAAAGAATCGGGGACAGACGGAAAGCGAATCGGGAGGTGGCAGGGGAGCGGAAGATCGGTCGGTAAAAATTGAATGCCAGGGAGTAACGAGGAGCGGGGCGCGAATCCTTGCCCTTAACCAGTCTCTGGCAGGCCTCACCCAGCCCCCTACGGCCCTTCTCCCCTTCTCCGTCGCGCCTCGCCCAGCATCGCCGCCCAAGTCGGGCGTAAGAAATTAAAATCTGTTCTTACAATTGTTGCGGTCGCCGCCGAAGAGCTGATGGAATCTCATGAAGTCCGGCCTGCCCCCAAAGTGGCTGCCCTTGGTGATGAGCACCTCCTTGACCAGTCTGTAGCTGCTGACGACGACGCACCGCGAGACGCCCAGTTGTATCTCGTAGATCTCACCGTACTCGTGCGCCATGGCGGTGAAGGCGCCGAAGGGACCCGCGGGCCCCGCGAGCCTATGCAAGCTGCCGAGGAGGGGCAGAGCCCTCGGGCCCTTCAGGCATCGCTTGGCCTCCTCGTCCTGGGGGCCCTCGGGGACCGGTCCGCCCGCGGCCTTCTCCCGCAGGAGGTCCTTGATGCGGCGCAGCAGATGCGGCAGGAACGCGAGCCCGAGGGAGAGGATCGCCGCGCAGCCGAGGAGCAGCCAGAACGCGACCACGGCCATGTTCGGCCCCCGCGGGCGTTTAATGCCGCGCTCTCGGACCGCTTACCGCTCTGGCCAAGGTCAACCTCAAGGACGGCGCGCACCCACCGCCGCGATCTCCTTTCGGGCGGCCGCTCGGTTCTCTGCCCCCTACCGTTTTCCCGGGGCTCGCCCTCCTCGCGGACCGCCTCGTCCTCGACTACCCCCGATCTCGGTCCACACACACACACACACGCACACGCACACGCACACACGCACACGCACGCGCACACACACACACACACACACACACAGAGACCACCGCCACCGTCGCCGTATCCGCCGATGTCGCAGCTGCCGATGCCGCTGCCGCTGCTCTAGTCCCGATAACCCGCGCACACAACCCTCGTGACACGCGACCTCCGCCTAGCCGCGTTTCGCCTTGGCTGAGCCGGTCGTCCGCTACCCGGGACAAGCCGCCGTCTGCCGCGCACTAATTCTTCTTCCTCTTCTTCTCACCGGACTTTTGCCTTTTTGTTCTGACTCGGGCCTCCCGCGACGTTTCCTTCCGCGATCGGAGCCTTGGAGCCTAGCCGATCGGTCCAGCGGACAATGCGCTCTACCGACGCTAATCACCGACCGAGTCTAGGCGACGAATGCCAACGAGCTCGGTATTGCCGCTGCTCCTGCTGCCGCTATTGCTGGAAACTTCTTCACCGGGACCCTCGGCACAGTCTCCTGTTCACTCGCTCGCTCGCTCTCCTCCTGCGACGATATGTTTCCTTCACGCTCTATTCCACCGTATGTGCCGATCCTCGCTACTCGTCACCACCGACTTCTTCCTGCGTTTTGCGTACTTGCTGCGTTGGTGAGCTCCTAAGAAAGGAAAGAAAACTCTTATGTGCTGATGAGACATTACAGAGTACCGGCCCGATTTTGTTATTATTTATAGCCGTTTTATGAATCAATGCACTTGTAACCAATTCGCACCATTACGCGATCACAATTATTACGACTTTATATAGAAGGATTTCGACAAAAATTACGTACCTCTCTCTCTCTCTCTCTCTCTCTCTCTCTCTCTCTCTCTCTCTCTCCAAATATACGTGTTATATATTAATTAATTTAAGGCTAAACTTTACATATTACTTGCTCGAACGTATCATTGACTCGGAGATTTTATTTCAAGAATTACTTTATTTATTTCCCATGCCCCCCCCCCCCATTAAATAAGCCCGCCAACTGATTTACTAGTAAGTATTTAAATACATTTCTCCGCGATGTCGAACGTTCCAGAAAATTCTCCAACTTTCTTAAAAAAGTTTTGATTGCCGCTAATTATTAATGTTGTTGAAAAAATATTTGCTACATTTATATACATATATATACAAGCACACGAGTATCGCTTAAATTTTTATTTGAAAGACTCGCACAGATTTTTATGAATTATTTACTAAATCGCGCCTACAAATCCATGTCGTATATAATTTCGTGTTTTACAATTTATTCAACTAAGACCAATTCTGTTTTATTATTAAGATAATGAAATTACAGTTAGACGGTTTAAAGTGATAATGACATGACTATTATACAATTGAAATTTTATCGAGCTATATGAAAATAGATGTAGATGCATGGCGTACGCCATTATATATGCTATTCGACTCGCAAATGCGCATAGATAAAAAGCAATGAAATAAATATATTTATCGTACTGTACGCGAACAATTAACTTCCCACTTGTATTCCTTAAACATTCGACTAGTTTGTCGAAAATTAGCATTTTCCAATTCAGTGATACAAAAATAATTAAATTTAACCCAAATGTAGATTCGAAATATTTTACTTTTACAAGCTTTCACTTTAAAAAAAAAAGAGGCAGTTTTTTTTTTATCATTTTTTATACGTTTTTAAATAAAATAAACTAATAATAATTTTTACATATTTTTCTTTTTTATATCTCGAGACTTTCGTTATGTTTATTTACAGAATATATATATCCATACACCCACACACACACACACACACACACACACACACATATATATATATATATAATAAGCATTACTGCATTAAAAGTATTTTACGTAAAAAATTTGTTATCCAAATTAATATACTATAATAAGTAATTATCTTTTCAAAAATATTGATTTGCAGTTAATCATATGAAGTATCCATAAGAATGTGCTTAATTAAAATAATATAAAAATAGCTATTAAAAAATATAAGATATCAGAAACATGAAGGCAATTTTATTTTGAAATAATTATAGAGATATAATTTCAAGTAATAATCAAAAGCAATAATTATATAAACTATGGAGGTTGTTTGAAAATTTTCTGATTGCCGATCAACTATAAATAATTAATATCAAGATTAATAACTTAAGAATTTGATCATCAATGTGTTTTTATAAGTGAAATTTTGCTTTGATATGTATATACCGAAAATATGTTTAGTCAGTCTGACTAAATAGAATAGTTAGAATAACTCAATAGCATTCTCAGAATAATTTTAGATTTTAACTGCAATTATTAATTTTGTAGTAGCTAATTGCTATTTTTATATAATTAATTATTGCCAAGTACAGTTGCTAAGGTAAATGTTTTTTTTTTGTGTTTTTTTTTTTATGTTTTTAAACGATTTCGAAAAAATCTAAAACGGCTTTAACGGCGTTTAATAATTTATCTCAAATAATTTTTGACAGTTATAAACAACTTTGTGATACGTTTGATATGCGATTGTTTATTATTGTACAGAAACCACGTTAAAGTCACGAATATCGGTCTCATTATGATAAATCGAAAGCTCAATAGAATCGTCAAAACATTACACGCATAAACATTTAATAAAATACAGCGCGCCGATTGCTGGTTAAATGTCTTATATATTAATTTTGTAAACTTTCCGAATGCCATTATAAACAGCGGGTTAATAAAGCGCTTATTTTTCATAAAATTGGATATTAAATGTAGATATGAATGAAGACGAAGAAGAAGGTCGCATGTTAGGAGATTAATAAATAATTTCATTGACACGTTAAATAAATGTGAAGTAACTATTGTTGTAAATTAATCATAAAAGTTTAAGTGCAAAGTGGCCAATTTCTGCTGAGAATAGCTAGTTTGTTAATCGCGATAAAATTGTTATAAGAAAAATTACAAAAATAAAAAAATTACAAAAATAAAAAAAAAATAATAATAATAATGATGATAAAAGGCCGATATTGTTGAAACTCTCCGAGTAGAGTTGACTTAGTGGTACGCAACATTGAATAATAATTTTACCAAACATCGACCGCAAGCTCGTAATATTTACAAAAAGTATTTTCCAAATTTCAATAAGGCAGGCGAACACAATTGACAGCAATAACATTGCGCGCGAACAGTAAAGTGAAACGACGAAAATCTACAGATAACGAGAAAGAAGAGAAAAGAAAAAAGAAGGTAAAGAAAAACCTCAGAATATCGGGGAATCCTCGCTCAGTCGGACGTACCTTGTCGCCTCGACGAATGTCAATAGTCTGTTATCCCGCTGGCAAACCTCGTTTTAATAACACGCGATCCTTCCCCGCCCCTCTCACTCAAGACCCAAGACCGGCGCCAGTCCTCCCACCCTCCACCACCTACCTCAACGTCTCGGGGGGGTCGTGTGACCTGGTCCTCGTCGTCCTCGTGTCAGCCTCACCTCTTGAGCGCTCGTCTTCACCCGGCGATACTCCCTCGCGTGCGCGCGCGCTCACGCAGTCTATCAACGGAGGATAGCAGCGCACCCGTGTATACCTCGGCGAGATCGCGGCGCTTTGCGCGGGGAGGGAAAAAGGAGAGCGGCGGCCGTCGGCGGCGGGGATCATGGGCGGCTCGACGGCGGCGGTAGCGGCGGCGGCGGCGGTGGCGGTGGCGGTGGCGGCGGCGGTGGCGGTGGCGGTGGCGGTGGCGGTGGCGGTGGCGGTGCCGCAGCGACTTACCCGCGCAGGATCGCGCCTCGAAGTGACGACGACGCTCCTGCGGACTTTCGTAGCCCGCCTCTGCTGCACCCACGAGGGAGACAGGCAGAGAAAGAGCGAGAGCGAGAGCGAGAGAGAGAGAGAGAGAGAGAGAGAGAGAGAAGAAAGGAAAATATAAAAGAGGGTAAGAACATGGGGAGTACGGAATGAGTAAGAAAATGGGAGCAAGGGACAGAGGGAGGGAGATCAAGAGAATGCGTGCATGCGTGCGTACTTGCGTGCGTCCGTCCGTCCGTGCGTGTGTGCGCGCTTGCGCGCGTGCGTTCGTGCGTGCATGCTCGTACGCGTGCTCTTGCGCTTGAGAGAGTGAGAGAGAGTGAGAGGGGGCGCCCCGTCAACCGGGTACCGTTAGAAATACGCCACCGGATGCAGCGGACGAGAGATACGCCCGTGCATGTGCGTGTGCCCGTATGCGCGAGGAGGAAAGAAAAAAGACGCCCTCCTACCGACTCCTACCTACCTACCTGCCTGCCAGCCTCCTCCTCGAAGTCCTCCCCTCCCCCGCCGCCGCCGCCGCCACCGCCACCGCCGCCACCACCACCGCCACCGCCACCGCCACCGCCACCGCCGCCGTCACCGTCGCCGTCGACGCCGTCCCCCATCCATCCCCCTCCCACCCACCAACCGTTGACGCCATCGCCCCCGACCGTGTATTTTTCTGGTGGGTGTCGCACTTTCTTCTCCTGGTGCACACGCCGCCGCGGCTTATCGCACCTATATATTCTTATCGTTGTCATCTACACGATTAAAGCGCATCTGCAGCACCGGCCCAACTACGACGACGGACACTCGCGAGACATGACATCCGACCTCTGACCCGAGAGGATGCTTGGACGTATCTCGACTTCCGTAGCAACTGCTTACCAATGAATTTGGACGTTACACGTTTTTCGAGACGACGAACAAATGTCACGCGTGTCAGGAACTGATTTACTTTCGACTGGGAAAGCACTGACTGCTCGTGATGCCAACTTGTGGCAATTATACTTCTCACAGTAAGAGAATTCATTTCCTCTCGCGTCACACACATCTTACTCTACGAATTTCAATAAGTCCAAATACCGCTAACGAGCAACGAAACTTGTAAAACAAAAAAAAAAAAAAAAGCAAATAAAAACAAAAAAAAAAAAAAGAAAGAAAGAAAAAAAGAAAAAAGAATCAAAAAGAGCAAAAAAAAAAAAACCAATATTGAATAACAAAATCAAGCGTTTCGGCATATGTGCTAAACAAAGAGAAGTAAAGT